TAGTAAAATTGAACAATTATTAGAATAATGATTTGTCTGCATAACTGCAATAATGATGTGTCTGCATAATTGCTAGAACAATGATGTAATGCATAATCACTGGGAAAATTCACTGGGAAAGTTCTCTGTCAGTAATATGTGGCAACCAAATGCGCTCTGCACATGGATACTTTGTATGTAGCAAAACCTTCCATTCTATACCTGTGAGAAACTTCTCTGCTAACCCCTCTGGAATTCGTAAGAGTTCTTTCGTTTTCCACAAGACGTGGACTTCAACTCCCAGAATTCCTGAGCCAGTTGAAGTCCACAAGTCATAAAAGAGCCAAGGTTGACTACCCTTGGTAAGCAATCAATTTCTGATCCCCTTTTCTTGCTTTTTCTGATTGTTGCACTACTGAGCTCCATCCCGTCATGATGTCTCAATCCTCACTCCGTGACGCATTTTATACATTTTATAAAATACGACGAAAAGGAAAAAAATGAATCCAGGAAATTATAGACCAATCAGCCTGACATCAATACCTGGGAAGATCCTGGAAAAGATTGTTCTGTCCCAGCCTACGTACGTCTTTGTTACTGCACAAAGACAACCCCTCTTTTAACAGTAGACTGGAAAATACACACTTTTTATTTGAGTTACAGACCTGATAATTGTCCCAGAAAAACAAAAGCAACAGAACACTTTTCCAACGGAGCACGAGTCAAACAGGAAGTAACTCAGAGACAAAATAAACAGACCATGATCTCTTTACTCTGAAGTTCTTTGCAAATGGTTGCCTCCAGCAACCAGCCCTGCCCACACATTCCCTTTTTGTTACACAGCCCCTAAGGCGTGGCTTCTCACTGCTTTCTCCTCTTCCCCTGGAATCGCCCCATTGCCTCCCTCTGTCCTACTCGTGTGAACCGCCTACATCTACGAGCGTCTCTGAGGTCTTCCAGATGTGCTTCCTCCGAGTCCGACTCAGCTTCCCAGCACAGCTGGCTCTCAGCTGGATCTCGAGTGGAAGGACCAGCCTCCTCATCAATCTGTACGTCCTGCAGCTCATCAGAGCCTCCCTCCAACCCTGATGGCTCTCCTGGCCCCTCCTCCTCCTCTTCCTCTGATTCCCCAGACTCAACTACTGGGATCACAGGCTGGCACAGAATCACAGCAAAGATAATCAAACAAGGAATCTGCAAAAGTCTAGAAACAAACAAAGCTATTACTAGAAGCCAACATGGGTTTGTCAAAAGCAGATCACGCTACTAGACAAACCTTATTGTATTCTTTGAAAAAGTGACTAAATAGTGGAACGGCTAAATTCCATCGACATAATATACTGGGATTTCAGTAGGGCATGTGTCAAAGCAGACCACAGCACACTTCTTGATAAGATAGAAAAATGTGGGATATACAGCATTACCACCCGATGGATTCATAACTGGCTGACCAACCACACAGAACACGTAGTCCTGAATGGAACTACATTAAGCCTTCATCCAGCAACTTGGGAGTGAAACACAATTTCTCTGCATTGCTGTTTTGTCAAATAAAGATTTAAAAAATATAATGTTTATTCTCCAAACCAAGATTTAACCAAGATTTGTTTACTCACCTTGAAAGTTATAGCTAAGAGGTTTCTGGTACACTTGTTACTCTTCTGACTCAAGGCTAGGAACGACCCTCACTGCTGACTGGTTTGATTTCTCCTTAATCCATTCACCCTTTGTGCAAGAAGCTGCTTCTCCAACTGGGCCATGATTTCCAAATTCTCTAGAATGGAGTCCTGGCCAAAAGTTGGTGGGTCCTGATCCAAGAATGCCCCTTCTCCTCTGTGGAGCTCATGGCCACGTCCTCACTGGTCTCCTGCAAAGAGAAATGAGAAAGGCTCAGATGCCGACAGTAATCTGAATATAATCTGCAAAAGAAAAGGGAGGAGAATATGGAATTATTTGTTGAGGATACAAAATAATGGATATAGAATCCTGATTCAAGAAGATCTTGATGAGCCAAAATGGAAGAAACCAGCAAGATGAAGTCCAACAGGGACCAAGGCAGAGTTGTGAGTAGGAAAACTCAATGAAATATGAGAGAGATCAGATGGGGCAGAGCATGTGTGGAAAGGGCTGCTCTTTCCTGCTCTTTATGGAGGCTGCAAGGGCCACAAAAATTCCAGGTAGGTGTTTCGAAAAATATTTACAATTAGGAAAAGCAGCCTTTTGGCCATCGGCTTGTTTTATTACCTGCTCACAAGACTAGCCTCAAAACTTCCTTGGTGCATGGTAAAATATCCACCAAGGGGCTGCCGCACCACAGCCTCTTCTAGGCAAAACAAGGAAAAGATAAAGTTTAGAAATTCTGCCCAGCTTTTTAAAGCGGAAGCAAAGTAAACATTACCATCAAAACAAAGGACTTTATTTTTAGCTTTTTACATTGAGCTTAAAGAAAGAGGAACTCTTGGGGGTTAAGAAAACATGAATTGCATTCAGTTATTTAAATGTTTTCTTTTCCCCAAAGACTCCCCACCCCATCGCAATGAGGTTACTCTGTGTTAATACTGTGGGAAGAATCCAGAGAAAAAAAGAGTTTGGGAATATTAAAAAGGCAGAATATTATATTTCCCCAAAGGATCTTAAAGGCAGAAACCAACCCCCCTCCACCCCAGTCTCTCTGCCCCAAACAGAAACCAGGTCTGCAGAAATGCAGACGTGATAATCTTGTCAGAAAGATTGGAGCCAGGAAGCTGGGATTAGAAAGATAAAGATCCCTAGAATCAACAGTCCCTCACACCAAAAAAATCCAACAGTCATCAGCCACAGGGAAGCAGGATATGACCTTTGGGACATAACAGGATTAACCCACCACCATCAGAATACCAGAAAGGCAAACTCAGACTCAGCTCAAAGTTCATACCACAGGAACAACTCCAAACAAAAGCTCGACAAGTCATAAAAACCCACCACTCCTTACTACATGTAGTCAGTTTTTCCTAGAGCCATCTTTCTGTCCGGCTCTCCTCTTCCATAAACTACAACCTTCTTTCTGAAGCAGTCTCCATGTTTATTTATTCCTCGCTAGGACTGGACCTTGGAGATTTTTTCTTTCAATAATACCCCATTTACAAACTCCGTTTACTCCATTTTCTGCAACTGCACGCGCGGGATATGCATGCTCAGAGACTTCCTGCTCTGACGGACCACAGAGAGACCTTCAGAAAGCAACTTCCCCAAAAGCTCCTTCCCGGATCCACCCGGAGCCCCACGGGGATCCTGGGCCGGGCGAGGAGGGGGCAGATCCAGCCCGGGGAGGGAGGGACCCCCTTTGCCCCCCTGGAGGGAAGGGAGGGATCCACTCCCTGCAGGCGACGCCTGAGCCGAATCTCCCCAAGGAAAACCCGGGAAGCCGGAGAGGCGGATCCGCAGCTACCTTTCTCCTGGCGGGGGGGGGGAAGATCTCCTGGCGGGAGGGGCGCCCCAAAGGCCGGAGGGAGAGCAGCCAGACCTGCCCCGAGCGGGATCCAGAAGTCTCTCCCGAGGGATCCAGCGCCGATCCTCCCAGGGCGAAGCGAGACAAGCAGAGGGAAGCGGAGGTCCAGCAAGTGGGAAGGTAGAGAGGGGCGGGGCTTCTGCACTCCTCCTGGGCTCCGCCCCCGCCTTACAGCCCCGCCCCTTAGCAGCCTCAGCTCCTCCTTCCCTCCCTTCCCCTCTCCGCCTTCCCAGCCGGGTCTCCCTGTTTCTCCGCTGGGCATCCGCCTCCGGGGTTCCTCTGCCCATGTGAAGAGTGCCCTGCTGTGCCCGGGCGGGGCTGCCTCCTGCTCCAGCATCTGGGTGGAAACTGAAGCTCCGCGATGGCTTTTTGGGGGGGAGGCAGGAGCGACAGGAACCCCCCCCCGTCCCTTCGAGGAGGGCTCCTCTCCGGCTGGGTCTTTGCGGAGCCCGACTGAGGACGGAGAGGGAGGGGCTGACCCAGGGTCCCTTCCCCGGGGGAGCCTCCGTGGCCGTGTGTGTGTGTGTGTGTGTGTGTGTGTGTGTGTGTGTGTGTGTGTGTTGCAGAAGCCGAGTCCCAAAATGCCTTTACCCGCCCCCTCCATCCCCCCCCTCTGTCTTTCCCAGCCTATGGATCCCATCAACCTTGCTTTCCCCTCTTCTCCTCATAACTCAGCCAGAATTTCACCTTCCTTCCTGGAATTCCTTCTTGTTCCAGTCTCATGAAAGCATTTCATCCCATTTCCTTTACAAAGCAAGTGTAGCTGCAAAATATTTCAGTCTCGACTTCCCTGGGGGGGGGGAGTGGGTCGGGGGGGGT